AAAAAACGTTTAAAAATTTTTTGAAAAAAATAAAAAAAAACGCTGTTCGAAAAGTTGCCGGCGTATCCGGCCCGTTTGCAATATTTATTTTTTCCGTTGTCTGTATATCCTTTTTTTCTAATCGCCGTAGCTCGGAGGCCGTTGAAGGTTGAAATTTGCATCCTTTTTTTCTGCCCACGAGACCTATCCGCGGACCAAATTTTTCCGGTGTCGAAAAGGTCCAAGTTCACTTTTTTCGATTTTTCCGTCAAATTTGGCACGTTCCGTTGTCTTCGCTTAACATTTGAACGAGCCGAGATTTTTCGTCCAAACTCGAGGAAAAGGGTCTTCGGGACAAGAAGTTATCGGCATTCGATTTCTTCTTTCTATATACGGAGCTCTTAAAAAAACTACCTGCTTTGATAAGTATCGATATGCATGTTTCGTTAAAAATTCTAAAAGTAAAAAACAAGTTCAATTAGCTTGTCTTCCTCCAACCTCAGTTGCTGCTCATCAACATCTTTTTCGAGTATATTACCATGTTCAAGTGTGGCTTGGTTATCAGCTAGACCCTACAGACTAGGGTTGGAAGTTGGTCAACAACACATTAGAACCAGTTCAAACTTTACTTCCAACTGCGCCGGAAAATCTGCTGAACACAATTTTTTGCAACTGCAAAAAGGGATGCAGTGCTAAATGTGGTTGCAAAAAAGTCGGACTGTTTTATTCTCTGGCATGTACGAATTGTCAAGGCCGGTCGTGCTCTAATGTTGAATCACCAACAGTGGATGATTCATTTAATTCCAACGAGGTGAGATGCGATACATCGCTATTGACGCAATTTACTTGAACCCAGGATGAAGATGAAGAAGAAGAACAACAAGAAGAAGAACAAGAACAAGAAGAAGATCAAGAAGAACAAGAAAAAAAATTTAAATGTTACGAATCAGACGAATAAACTACATCGCTATTATCTTTTCCAATCATTGCTAATTTCCGTTATTTTGCAATAGTTTCAAATTAAACAGGATCACAAGTGACCCGTGAAATAGGCCTACTGGGGAAACCATGTTTAAAAACGCGCTTAGTAAACTACCTCATAGGTGGCGTGGAAACGTGTGCATATTATGGCGATTATAACTTTTACAACTTTTCGAATCGTTATATCTCAGAAACGGTGGCTCGTAGAAAAAAAGTATTAATACATTTTTTATAGATTATTTTATGATCTACAATTTTTGTCTGGTGTATTTTTATGATAAAACTTACCGTTTTGCTGAAAATCGCGAAAAATAATTTTTTTGACCTTTGACCTTGAATAAAAAAATTTCCATACAGGGGAATGATGGGGAACTTTAAAATTTTATTAATAATTATATTCTGAACAATTTTACTGATTTTCAGCTTGTTGTAAATTTATGTACCTTCGAATGTCTAGATTGACCGGACTATAAATGGAAAAAAAGGTGAATAGAATAGTGTCTAAATATTATATATATTTCATTAGACATAGACATTTAATTTATTTCAATTCCTGCATTTTCGCCATTAAGAAGAAAGGAGGTGTCCAACGAATATAGAAAACATCTAAACTTTGTAATGGAAATGTATCAAAATTATCATGTAAACAAATAAAAACCAGATTGTCAAAAAAATATTCTGTCATTATAAACGTCAAAAAATTTCCAGTATAATTCGCTGTTGGGTACCCACGAGGAAAAAATTTCCACTAAAATTCAACCGTTGCCATGGTGATCTATCAAAAATACACGTTTTGATTGGTTAAAAATTACAGGTGTGGAATTTTCACTGTTATTTGAACCAATCCGGTATTAAATTAGAAAAAAGTAAGGTTGATTGATGTCAGATTTATATAAATAAATATACGAGGGGCGACTATAATGATCTTTAAAATAGGAGAAAAGTGAGGTTATAATAAATTTTGTTATCAATGAAAATTACTTAATTGGAGTAGAAAAAACATAGTATTACACTCGAAATAATGCGCATTATTTACTCGGATGAATTACGTCTCTCGCCTGACGGCTCGACATGCAAACCTTTTGAATAATAGCCTGCATTATCTCTCGTATAATAATATACTATTATCAACATTTTAGTTTTCATTACTTGTTTTATGAAATATCTGCCCAATACCAACTTATTTCAATGTATAAAAATCCAATAAAATATGGAAACAGCATAAATTTATAATTATTATAATAATTGAACTTGGTATTCCCAAAGGGTCTAAGTGTCAAAAATAAAATTGTGAGAAATCAATGAAAATCCATCCATCTTTAAAATACAAAAATAATATGGAGAATATTTTTTTAGTCGTTTTGCATGGCACATAGACTATTTTTAAATGTTAATATAATATTTGACCAAATTGGGTCCAAACCCTTTGGGAATGCCATGCTTTAACTATAAGTATTAATGTAATTATTTACCATTTCTTTTTAAATAAAAAGACAGCTTTTTTTGCTCATGGTTTTAGATAATATTTTCCTAAAAAAGGGTACTACTAAATTTTACCATAAATTTTGTTTCGCTGAAAAAGTTTGAAATTCTTGAAAATTTCTATAAATTCAACTTTTACCTTGAATACCTTTTAAAAGAGCCCTACCAAAATTTGTTTCAGTTTTACTAATCCGTTTACGAGTTATACAATTTTAAAGTATTTTAAAAAATCTCATATTATTTTAATGGGAAATAATAATTCCCTATGAGGGACCTGTAAATGTAATATTAAGAGCTTACATTTTAACAGGACCATTTTTTGTCAGTGTGAAGATTTAACCCTTAAGATTAAAAGCCTTTTCGTTAAGCGAATCTGCCAAACGCACTGCAGTAGCTGAACAAATTGTGCATAAAAGAAGAGCCAAGAAGTTTTATACATTGTATTTGACTTCATGCAAAATTTGCAGCTTCCACAGGTCCCCATTCAGGATCTCTTCTACTTATCACAACTAAGCGTCAGCCGAGGCGTCAGCGTATTTTGCATTTATGATTTAACTTCTGATAAAAGTTATTTCTACGTTTATTATGAAGGAATTGCTGCAAAAGGCCCAAATGAAGTGTATTCTTTTTTAATGGATTTATATCTCAAACTATGCAGATTCAAACTGAAAAGAACTAATATTTTTGTTCATACAATGGTAAGGTTTTGTATGGCTTTGACGCAGACTGGAAGGTTTAATAAATAAAATACAGCAGGTATTTCCTATTCATGGGCACAGTTTCCTTTCCTGTATAGAGATTTTGGGACTTAATTTAATAGTTGGCCAACTTTTATCTTTTAAATTAAATAACGTTATTTCAAGGTTATTTCGTACTAACATAACCTATTTTGTGTAAACGGTTTTAATAATAAGAAAAATATTTCGATTGTAATTACAAAAGTAAGCCATATATCTAAAACTTTAAGTTTTAGACATATGAAGTAAGCACTCTCTAAAAATATTGTTTTTAATTTCAAACACTATAAAATTACGTTAATTTTTGTATGAACGCAAGTAAATTAAATTAAATTAGGTACTTTTAAAGTTAAATTAAATTATATTATGTTATTACTCTGTTAGAGCAGAGGCAAAATAATCGATCCACACAAATTTTCGATGAATTTCAATCGCAAATAACTTTTTTATTTGATTTCGGATTTAAACAAATATAAAAGAATATTGTAGATACATTAATGGAGAATCGCTCACATTTTAAAAATTACTAAAAAATACACGTACATTTATAATAAACAGGTTTAAACAAAAAGATGTTTTTTACCATAAGTTTAAGACACTCTGTAGAGTGGCTAAACCATATATTGTTCTAAATTAAGTTTTAATTATCAAGTTACATCTATTTTTAACAGTTTTGTTTTTGGTTCACCTTGTTATATTTATATTTGTGGAAAATATGGATTTTTAAAAAAAAAACATTGCAATTTCCAATAGTTTCCTGTATGAAGAACTAAGGTTGCTATGGTCCATCCATAGCCTATGGAGGATGACAGTGACAGTTTTGTTGAATCATCCCATACTTGGACATGTCAAATAAAGGTTTCAAAAGGTATCAATTTTTTTTTTGCAAATTAATGTGTTAATTTTGAGGTGTCTTCTTACTTTAAAAAATGTCTCCGACTGATGTTGCCCTTTGTACTTTACTTCTTGTGACGTTTAAAACACTTGCCACGTAATACTGTGATCGTCCATCCTGGATTAAATTAATGGATCTGGCAACATCAGTCGGAGACATACCCATTTTTTAAAGTAAGAAGACACCTCAAAATTTAAACATTAATTTGATAGCTTTTGAAAGCCGTGTATGACATGTCCAAGTATGGGATGATTCAACAAAACTGTCACTGTCATCCTCCATAGGCTATGGATGGACCATAGCAACCTTAGTTCTTCATACAGAAAAATATTGGAAATTGCAGTGTTTTTTTAAAAATCCATATTTTCCACAAAAATAAATATATTGAGGTGAACCAAAAACAAAACTGTTAAGAATAGATGTGACTTGATAAATAAAACTTAATTTACACTCTACAGAGTGTCTTAAACTTATGGTAAAAAACATATTTTTGTTTAAACCTGTATATTATAAACGTACGTCTATTGTTTAGTAATTTTTTTAAAATGTGAGCGATTGTTCAACAATTTATCTACAATATTCTTTAATATTCGTTTAAATCCGACATCAAATAAAAAAGTTATTTGCGATTGAAATTCATCGAAAATTTGTGTGGATCGATTATTTTGCCTGTGAGTGTAAATAAGTTTTAATTAGGAAAATCGAAAATTAAATTTACACTGGGACACCTTGTATCTCGGTTATTGTGAACTTTTGAATTAAGCTAAGTTTGGTCAAATCGTAATATTTTTACCCAAGGAATCTGCAGTTTTACTGTGTACCATTAGTTATGGGACACCCTGTATATATATAATAGTAATATTTTTTGTGACCTCTTTACTTTTTATAATGACTTAATAAATAAAATGGAAAACTTTTAGACTTACTTTCCAGGGAATATTCGCCTTCCAACATCTCCAAGCTTCGGACAAATGCTGCAAAATTGTTCTAGCCTTGTTCTGTTTTATGCCTTCAGGCATCATATCAACAATATCATGCATAACAGATGCTCTCAACTCAAGATCAAAGTGAGACTCAACCCTTTGCTTGGTGACCGTTTTTGCCACACCTTTAGAGTGACGACCCTCGAACTGACGCGACAACAAGTTACCCAGCCATCTTTCAAGAAGCGGAGTAATACCCCTCATAAAGAACAGCCACACTCTCCAACCTGGAGCCCAGATTCCACAACCAGGACCTTTACCAACTGGACCCTAAAACGTATGACAATAAATTACTAGTATTTTTTTTAATCGTAACTTACTGTGTTAAAACGATAGTACACCAGATGCTTAAGATCTTTGCACATGCGGATTTGCCTCATAAGTTTGTATTTGTATCTGTACATTCCAGTAAGTTGGCCGACATGGGCGAATATGTATTGTAAACCGTCAGACAGTTGAAAAGCGTCCACGTTATTTAATCTATATTGTACGTGGGAATCAATTATTAATTTTGTTAGACGAAGAATTTCACGGCACAAGTGGAAAGCGTTTCCAAAACGCGACTTTTTTCTCTCCTTGGTTGTCAATGTTTTAACAGGTTTCAAGTTGAAATTGTAATCCAAATGTAAGTAATTCAAATTCTTTCTATGAATTAACAGATTTAACATGTTATAACCTTGTCTGCAGACTTGTAAACCAGCTTCAACCCAATCAAGGGTTGTGGTTTGAAAGAATTTTGTTGATTTAAATGATCTAAACAGATACCGCTTTTTCTGAGGTTTGGGGGCTCTGTGTTTTAAAGCGTTAAGTACGTAATATTTCAGTAATTTTTGGTAACTGACGCGGACTTTCACAGGTTGACCTGGTGGAACATGCTCCATGTACCAAGATTTTACTAATGGTACGTCTATCGCCCTTCTGCATCTGCCTGATCTCATATTAAACGGTCGTGGCGCCCAAAGTAGAGCGATACCATTAGCAGTATTGTCGGTATACAGAGGCGTTTCTTGCAAGAATGGTTGTACCGTTTCAGGTAAAATATATTCCTCGTCATCCTCGGGTAAAGGTTCTAAACTCTTCACCGCGTGTCTATGAGATATGGGGTTGATAAGGGGATCAAAATAAAACGCGGGCAAATCAGGATCTTCGGTTTTTATGTAAACAACGTTAGGTGCATGATACCTAAAATATATTCCAATTATAAAGGATGATTCTTAAATTAGTATTGCATGACAATTTAAGGTCAAGTTATTACAGTGAAAATATTGAACAATAGGTTTGTAAGTAAGTTTCATTTTTTTATTTCTGCTAATTGGATAGTATACCTATAGGTATACAGCAAATTATAATGTTGACAGCATCAATTTCTTTGTATACATGTTAATTAGGGTTGGGATTTTGACAAGTCAAAATCTTTTGAGGTCAATTGACTAGACTATTGACCGGTCAATTGACTAAGCACCGGTCCTTAGTTTTTTCTAAAGAAATGATGGCATGAGTAAAATTACTTAATTTTTAATAGAAACGTATATTTATTGAAAAACAACAAAAAATAAAGAAACCATTCTAAGGTACAAAAAAACATTCATAATATCATTGTTTTTAAGAACATTCACGTCTAGCGCGCAGCAGAGCAGCAACAGCAGCCCAGCAGATAAGACCTGAAGATGGTACATAAGATTCTTTTAAGAACCAAAAACCGACAACACGGTTCTAGCATGTGTAGATAACGGCACATCATCCTCTTCACTAACCCACCCTCGCCATTGTCTTTACTCTCTTAAAATTAATTAGTCAAAAATGACCCAGAATACTATTTAAAAAGCATTATTATGATTGCACCATGGTCCACTACCGAACATTTTTTTAATACTTTTGATATTTTCCGCTAGGTAGCGCCGCCACCGCGACCGATTTTGACATGGTCAAAATGCCTCCTGTCAAAATAGGTAAAAATCTCGGTCAATTGACCGCGGTCAATTGACCAGGCACAACCCTAATGTTAATAAAACTTTTTTAATTTTTCACCCAATTTACCTTAAACTTTCATACAACATAACTAATCGCCATTGCAAATAATTTTTAACATAAAATAAATAAAACAAATTGTTTGTGATCTATCAGCCTTTTCATTTATGAACTTAAGAATGAAAAACATATCAATCACAGTTTATTGTACCACATTTTAAGTATACTCATTGTATAAACAATAAGTACAAAACTTGGGTGGTTAAAATAAATAATTTAATTTAAGACTTACCAGGATAGATGTACAAAATGTGGCATATTATTATACAAGTAAGGAAAAGCTATCCTATATTCAGTTCTAATAGGTTGACGAATTATAATTTTGTTGATATCATTAAATTCATTCCAATCTTCATCACTAAAAGCGGCACTTATAACTTAATACAAACAATTATTAAATATAACTTACGCTGGATTCATATCTTTAATAAGGGGTTCAAATTTTGGCCCTCCTGGTATAGCCATATTTAAAGCTTTAGCAGTAAAAAAACTTTTTGTATCAAACAAATAAAAATAATTTGTATCTACTAAATCAGTAAGTAATTGATTTGCCAACCGATACAAAGTAGCCATCATTGGCAAGGATAAATTCCACTTTCTGTATGTGGAGCCATTAACAAATTTGGAACCAACAAGTGGTTTGTGATCGTAGAACCACTTTGCAATTGCAGAGTCTTCTTCAGCATCTAGTTCAATTTGAATTGCTTCTAGAGGTTCAACATCTAAAACATTATCAGCATAATCTAGAGGAGGTTCTTCATCATCAAAAGGAGGAAACCTCATTCTTTTAAAATGTCTACGGTCCCGTTTTTCTCTTCTCATCATGATCCACATAGTACTGAAGAAAACAAATATTAGCCCATTTTAAACTGATCCATAAACTGACTTACCCCCATTGAGCAATATAAATAGGCTCAACAACCCAAGGAATTTCATTTACAAATGTAATAGCACCTGTAATGTGATATAAAACTTTCACATCTCTAATTTGCTCCCAAGGCATAGGCATATTTTCCAATAATTTCATAACTGCATGGGGCATATATTTTAAAGCTCTAAAATGTACATATTAAACCATTTCAAAGCAATGTTGAAATAACATACCCTAAATAAACTCTTTTATCATGTCTGTATTTACGACTGCTCATATCCCCATGATCCCTTATAATTTTTCTAATATGCTCTGGTGGCATATCTTCTTTTTGGGCTTCTACAAAACCCAACTTTCTTTTGTCTGCAAACCTTTTTGATTGTAACTGATGCCATTTTTGGGCTAAAATGTAAGAAACCTTGTAAAGGCAATTATAATGATAAAATATACCTAATAAAATCTATGCAGAAACTAAATTCATTCTAGTTTAAATTTTAAATTGGCATTCTTAAGAGTTATATCTAGATTAAAGCACTCCAAAAAAAAAATTTAAATACCTTTAAACTAATACTTAAGCTTAATTTTCATGTATCCGTTTGTCCGTTCATCCGGAAGCGCTATTATTGGTAGGTGTTGTTTTTCTATTTATGCTTAATAACTTTATAAACTGCCCCGACTTGTTAGCGCAAATTAATTTTTCTTACTACCTCGACTCAAAATACGTTGTTTCGTCCCCGATTTCACGGCAGAAAGTTTACGTTTCTTGCATTGGTCAAGCTATACGCGCACACTCTAATAGCAGGAGTAAAAATTTTTTAGTCGTGTGCATGGAGCCTACACAAGGAGCCCGAACTTAATAGGGAAAATTGACAAAACCTGTCCACTAAATTGCACAATTTAAGTCTTTTTTTTTCACCACCAGCGGCGCTGTTTGTCAATGCGTCCGTATGACGTGAAAATAGTATCAAAAATACATGTGAAGTAAGCAAGTAATTTTGACAATTGATTTGCAATAATGTTTTGACGTACGAATCGTTTTGTTATTTATGGCTGTACCTGGTAGGTAGATTCTAATAAATAGGTTTTGGTTGTGAAATATAAGTGATTCTTTATAATCTGTGAAGTGATTTTACGACTCTGGAGAAGCAAAATAAATAGGTTTTGGTTGTGAAATATAAGTGATTCTTTATAATCTGTGAAGTGATTTTACGACTCTGGAGAGGCAAAATTAGATTTCCAGGTTAGAAATACACCGCTATTTAATAATTTAAATTTAATTTAAATAAAAATGTATGTATAAAATGAGTAAACAGCATATTTAATAATTTCCACCTTTATTTGTTTATATTGAACTTTTATTTAAGCCATCTACCTATAAAACTAAAAATAAATACCATATGGATTTAATATTCTGTTAGTTTATGGTTTTACACGATTTAGCATCACACGACATTCTTTTATAGAAAAAAACACGTATTTATAAAAAACTGTACTATATATACTCTACATCAGAAAGTCCAACATGAATTCCAATGTTAAATTTGATATAAATTTATTGTAAATTAAGACCTTTATACACAAAACCAGGTACATGTGTACATTGTTTTCAAAAAGCGATAAACTGACAGTTGCATAACCTCAATTATTTCCACAATAAGTGGTAGGTAGTGGCGCCATCTCTGGTTATACCACTCTACTGTTTTGGACCGGTAGTACACTAGCGCCCTCTTATCTTAGGAAGATTCTTGTTTACATGAAGTTCGGGCTCCTTGTATAGGCTCCATGGTCGTGTGCTTACCATTCAAATTTCGTGCTGCCAAATATGACAGTTTTAAACCATAATTTTGCAATTATAACAACAAATAAACAATTTATGTTTTTACTTTTATACTTTTTATGTTGTTTTAAATGTTTAATGGTACTTTTATTTGTTATAAAGTAGTAATTTGTTAATTAAAATCCAATCTTTTATTTTTACTGTATTGGCACCGCTGAATTACCATGACAACGCTACAGTTTGATTAATTTTGAATGTAAACGTCAGAATTAAATTAAACGTTAGATTTTAATTTTGGCACAAGTTTTTTTATATACATCATGCCGCGCAGTGCAGGAACCTCACACTTTCTGCTCTTGTAGTGTAATACCCCGATGAGACGAACGCGTAACACATTATTATTTTACATAAAAAAGTACAGAACAGAATATGCTAAATTCATGCCTATAAGCAGAATATGCTTTGATGCAAACAACCTTGATTTGGAATTTTTTAATTGCTCATTGGAAGTATTCAAGAAACAATGTAATTATAAAATTAATTGTTATCAATCCTAATTGTAGACATTTTAATGTATTTTTTTGTAAGTGGTTTAATACCGTCAATAAAGTTATTATTAATTATAATTCGAAATGTATGACATTTTATCGGTCCATCAAGTTTCAAATTCGTACGTCTGACAGAAAAAGTAAAAATAATTTTAACTCATCCGTCACTACACATCTGTTTTTGACGCCTAACGTTATTTTAAGATAATTTATTTTCAAATCTTTTAATACTTTTTTAATAAGATTGTAAAATGGAAATATAACGTTCGTTATGTGAATAATGTTCTACTGTTATGTTTTTATTTAATAAGAGTAACAGAAAAAAAGAAGACAAACAAAAAAATAATAAAACCAGAACTTTTAATGCAAATTAAGGCTAGTATATTCTTTTTATATGGTATATTTACCTATAGTTGTCGCGGCGAATGTTTCAAATTGCGTCATCAAATTCTGAACCAAGCACATACATTACAATGTTGTTTTCTTTTACGTACAGTTAATTTTTTTAAATCTGGAGTCGTGTTTTTTTGTTAGGTTGGTGGCTTATGCCAGTTTGACTTAGTATTTTTAGTATTTAAAATGGTACTTCTGCTAAAAAATTTAATTAAATACTTTGACACTGTCAAATTGGCAATAATATTTATTATTGATAATTTACTTGTCAATTATAAATAAAAAGATAATTACGCCAAAAATAATAGTAACGAATTCGAATGTAAAAGCCCTTTTGAGGGCAAAACTTCATTTTGATAAAATTATGCCAAATACCACAATGGAAGAAAAAGTACATCGCGTTATGGACATTTTTGGAGTAAAAAAGTAACGAATTTGGGTTTATAAATATTACATCACACATTATTTTCACATTATTCACCATTGGACAACATTTACGTTCACAAAAAAAAATTAATTTCTTTATATAAATTCTTTTCAAAGCGAAGATTATTATCCGCTAGGAATACTTTCTCTTCTGGCCCGTAAAGCAACCTATATTTAACTACTTTTTGTATTTGATTTTACTCATCCAAGCACCACCAAAGCCAAATTAATTGCATTTTTAACTACGAATTTTGACAACTCAACTTGACAACTGCACAATGTAACCTACAATAATTTATACATAACCACAATTAGATTTATAACTAGCTTAGTTTGTTTTAATCAATGCGACCAACTTGACAACTGTATTTACAAACCAAAACCCTAAATTTGCAACGTTGCCGCAGTCCAGATAAAAAAAATTAACATAATATAATCGAAGGAACCGCTAGGTTAACCGTATGTCGAGAAATCGGTTTTTGACATTCGCCGCGACGACTATACCTTTAAATTTATTGAACAGCTAACTGTTAAAGTTACAATTGTTGACATAATTGTAACTATGACAATTAAGCATTAGGTAAATTTAGTAAAGTGAATATACTGACCCTTAATTTCTATTAGTCGCCAAATCAATCCGTTAAACGGTAATAAAAAACGGATTCATAAAAATTAGAACATTTCTTATCGGACGATTTTATTGAAAAGCGGACAAACGGATAACGGACAAACGGATACATGAAAATTAAGCTTTAGTTAAGAGATAATAATTGTGCTCTTGCTGCATAAATTCAAGGTATAATTTTTATAACAATAATTTGAGCGCAGTGTGTGACATATTTGAAATTGAGCCTCACCTAGCTATAGTTATTTGTCCTTAGATGTGGAACTGTCCACATTAATAAAATTGGTTAATATGTTTTCAAATATACGGGGTGTCCCAGATTTTAATCTGAAAAATTTAGTAGTCGTTAAAAAAATAACAAGAAAAGTTTATCTAAAAAAATATTTATTTTTTTCAAAAATTTCAAAAAGTCCTTGGCCGAATTTAATAAAACTTTTTAGGTTTCAATGGATAAAGGGCTTAATTTAATGTAATTAAATTTAATTTAATAAATCCAGAGGTGGCGCTGGAGCAACATACCAACTAGGTATTTAAAAATAAAATTGGGGAAGGTACAGCTTTTTTAAAATTACTTTTAGATTAAGTAATTTAAAATACTAATTTAAAATACATTTTTTTTGTCTAATGCATTTTCTCTATTGTTTTATTTTTCAAGAAAAAAATTAAATTCGTTTATTCTCTCGCCCCTGCAAAAATTTTATTCAGGAACAGATAAAGGAAATTTTTTTTCTTGAAAATTAAGCAAGATAGAGATAAATTTTTATTTTTTATTGCTTAATCTAATTATAATTTTTTATTAAATTTAACCCTGTATCTCAAAAATAAAGCAATAGAGTATGCAACTTTATATAAACTTTTCTTGTTATTTCTATTGACTGATAAATTTTCCCCATTAACCACTATTTTAAGTTAAAAACAATTTCACAGTTTATAAAAATGGGGACATTTTGACAACTTTCTTGGACAAATTAATAATAAAAATTACAAGTTTGCTTTATTTTACCTTTTTCTTGAAGTTTATCCTCTGTTATAATATCTGATTTTGGGTGTGGAGGAGGAATTTGTTGTTGTAAAGCTTGGGCATGAGCTTGAGCAGCAGCAGCCTGAGCTTGAGCATGAGCTGCAGCTAACTGCTGTTGAGCCATTAACCAGGGATTTGGGCCCAGTAAATAAGGTGGCAAAGACATATTTGTCTGAAAATAATTAAGCATAATAATATAATATAATAATAATACATAGACAAATAAATTGAAGTAATGAAAGTAATATCGCTCTGAGAAATTTCCCTGAACAAGTATCATGTTTAAATAAAAAATAAGATTAAGTATTCTTTTCTAGAGTAAAAATAGCCAAGGTCTTAAGAATAATTTTACTTAAGGAGGTTCAGGGACAATATTTAGTCACCAATAATTGTTATAATAATAATAATAGTAATAAGTTTTAAGTAAGATTGTCCGACTGGTTTTCTAATGAAAAAATATTAAAGTAGCTAAAAATCAGGGTTGCCTGCCCACTGAGTTTTTTTGGGTAGAATCTACTCAAAAAAGCCTGCAGGGTTTTATAAAAGTGTTTTTTTCTTAAACTTGAACTCCTTAATACTTTTTATATTGTAAAAAGATAATTACATTTTTATGTATGTAAAAACTATAATTTAATCAAAAGCAGTACACTCTAAAACTGAGAAACGATTAAACCATTGACCTAACAAAACTTCAGGGGTTCTCCTGCCGATCTATAGTCTTATGTATTTTACAGTTGACAAACAACTGTGAAAGTAAGTCGTGAAGGAGAAGGTAGTGAAGTGAGAAGGTAGGTATATTTGAATTTTACTTATTGACAGTATTTCTCTTTAAATGATGTTTTTTTTTACTAAAATCTGTATGGAATTAAAAAACCCAATAAAACCCACTTATAAAACCCAAAAAAGCCCAATAGATTGGTTTTATTTAAAAAACCCAGTTTTTTTCCAATTAGCTGTACCTATAGAAGATGTATTTAATTAATATATAATATCTTATTTATTTATTAATATTTATGTTAACAAGATTATGAGAAATCGATGCCTGTAGAAGTTTCATATCCTCATATCCCTGGAAGAAGTCATGAACATTTTATAATTGAGTTAAAGATAAAGTAAATAAATAAATTTCTGTATTGGCAGTTAATTGATTTTTAACCATACAAAAATGACCATTTCTAAAGGTTTCTAATGTTCTACTGCCGTGCTTAATGAAAACGCCGTAACCAACAATTGTGCGATTTTTGTTTTACGGCATTTTCTACTAGAAAAATTCATCCTGCGTCTATCCCCGGTACTCAAAAGTGAGTACCGGGGATAGACGCAGGATGAATTTTTCTAGTAGAAAATGCCGTAAAACAAAAATCGCACAATTGTTGGTTACGGCGTTTTCATTAAGCACGGCAGTCTAGGTATCTAGTGTTTTTAAATATTAAAGATACGCTAACAGCAATTGCTGAACACATTATCATTTATTATTGCAAAAGTTTTAAATGATGTGTCCAGCAATTGCTGCAAAACTGTAAAACATTCACAGTTTTGCTGCAACAAAAATTTAAATGAAACTTGCATGTATGATCCTGCATATTATGACATTTTTTAAGATAAATTAATAAATACATGTTCTATACAGCCTATGCAAACTTTGTAAATGTTTAATTAGTGGACTCTAATACAACCTAAAACATTAAATAAGTTAAATGAACTACGTAGATAAAATATTATATTACATTAAAATTAAAATTCTACAAACCGCAAATGCTTAAAATACTAGGTTATGTATCACTTCATTAATTTCATCGTTTGTAAGTATTGTAATTCAGCAATTAATTTGATTGTAACATGTTAAGTTCATATATTAATATTATATTCTCACCCTTTAGTATTAAAGCACTTATTTACTTAACATTATATTTAATATTTTCAGACACAAAACGTTGAAAAACGTAGATGTAGCGGCATCAATTATTAAACAAACATGGCTGCTAACCAGTGTTGCCAACAGTTTTTGTTATATACATTGTTCAGTGTTGCCAGAAGTGGAAAAATTAAAGTACTGAAATGGCAATAAAAACGTATTGACCATATGCAAGGAATGCGGTCGATGTTGCCAATGGTAAAAAAATAAAATTCCATATTGGGAACATTCAATTATATTACGTTGGATACACTGAAATTTTGAATTTCCCGCACAAACTGACATACATTCTAGGAGTTCCCAGAGATAAAGAAGGTAGTTCCAATGTTGTATAATAAATTAAGGTGCGAATTTTAAATGTGGGAATTATTATTATTTATTATTATTAAAAAAAAAAGATGGAAATTAATTTAGTTTGTGCGGGAAATTCAAAATTTCAGTGTAGCCAACGTATTATAATTGAATGTGCCCAATTGGGAATTTTATTTTTTTACCATTGGCAACATCGACCACATTCCTTGCATAACGTACAGTGGCGGACACGGAATTTTGAACGATTATAAACCCGTTGAGACATTCTTTATGGACTTAACTTAACTTTAAGGTAATTACTTCTGGTTATCACTAGATTTGTCATTTTGGCAGAAAAAGCAAAAAAGTCAATATTAATATTAGGTGCTTTCCTTTGTATCTTTGCTATTTACAGATTTATACATGATCAACCAAATTATGACGTTCAAAATTCCGTGTCTGCCACTACTAACTTTTTAACAATTTTGAGAAATAAACATTAAACTTATATGAACGTAAATTTATTTTGTACTTTATCAATAAACACATGCACATAAATAAACTATAAACATCAAAAGAACAAAATACAAGGAATGCGGTCGATGTTGCCAATGGAAAAAAATAAAATTCCCTATTGGGAACATTCAATTATATTACGTTGGCTACATTGAAAATTTGAATTTCCCGCACAAACTAAATTAATTTCCATCTTTTTTTAAATAATAATAAATAATAATAATTCCCACATTTGAAATTCGCACCTTAATTTATTATACAACATTGGAACTACCTTCTTTATCTCTGGGAACTACTAGAATGTATGTCAGTTTGTGCGGGAAATTCAAAATTTCAATGTAGCCAACGTAATATAATTGAATGTTCGCAATAGGGAATTTTATTTTTTTCCATTGGCAACATCGACCGCATTCCTTGCATATGGTCAATTATTATAAATTTATATAACATCTTATTATACCTATACAAAAAAACTTAAAAAAAAAAACAATATTTGTTGTTAAATAAAAAATAGTCTACCTATCGTCTACCTTTTTTTAACAAAGATTAAGGTATTTGGCTTCAATAATTGGTTTGCAAGTAAACGTTTTTAATGTTTTTTATCTTATTTCCATGAGCAAAGAGTTTTAGGACGGTTCTTGGCGAACTTGGAACAAACCTTATGTCAACACTGAGTAGACAAAGTGCGCTGCCAACAGTTTAAAACTAAAATTACCAGGATACTAAAACAACTCAGTATCACCAACCTAAACTGGAAAACGTACTGAAAACCATCAACGAGGTACTTGCGTACTTTTTTTAATTCGAAAGTACTGAATTTGGTACAAACTTATCGACGCTGGCAACACTGTCAGGTGAAGCAAAAGAAAATTATTATAATTGGGTCGCTGCCAAATCTGTATGGGTGCACGTCATCAACGGCATATGACGTCAGCGTTAAGGTCTATTCATACGTGCCCAGACACCATCTAACGCTCGTGTATTGTTGACTGTTTATAGCGGTGGGGGCTGTTATTAAGATGGAATTATAACGTCCTTGTTATAATCTTCTGCACTAACTAATTAGGAGTTTGTTACAGGCAAATTTTTATTAAATGTGTTTAAAGAGAAAACAAACGGAGTTTATTACATTTTTATTACATATGAACATAACAAAAAAATACTAAATTATCAGAAACACAAAAATAATAAATTACCAGTCGTCCTTGTCATCAGAGCAAACCAGGTCAGAATTGAAGTCTGATTATTTCCCCAAATTTATTATTAAGGGCGCAATGTCTTCGAAATCTAATAACGGCTAGTTGCCAACAAGCCTTATATCATTGTTTGCACAATCCAGGGATTGAATCTTATAAACATAATGTATAATATTATTTATAATAATTTGCAACAAACGATGCTTCCGGACGAAATGTCACAATTACAAAAATACGTCAAATATAAAATGACAGCGACCCATCAATAATATTGAACGGTGCGCGCCAGCCTTAAGCTATTACCAACTGGCACACACAAAAATTACTAAGTGAATGGTTTTATTTTGATAATTTCGTGAAAAAACGTTTTAAAACAAGGAAATTGTTACAGTTCTTGGTAAACAATACGCAAATGAATGATTTCTTTTTAATAACACATCAGAATTACGCCTTAAAAAGCAAATTTAACGGCAGTAACTTTACAATTCAAAGTTGGTAATGATGACGTCATTATATCTCATTGATGACGTGCACCCATATAGATTTGGCCGTGACTATAGTAAAGAGTACAGTGACGTCATAACTCCCAGCGAAAAATTATTGTATCTCATGCTTTTCTTTTTATCAGGCCTTGGTAATTCATTCTACCAGTGGAACAAAGGCGTTATACCAGTGAAAGGAATTACCAAGGCCCGAAAAAGAGAAAATCAAGACATACATTTTTCGCGCAGGGAGTTATGACGTCACTGTATTTTTTCCTAATAAGTTTTCAAATTTAATGTTATTTAAGCATGATTTATAGATTGCCTTCCTTCTTTCCTTCCGTAAAATATGAACAATATGAAAATCGTAGTGCCATTTATGGAATCCCGTACCGAAATCTTTAAACAGCACAAATGTTTTTGACAAAAACTTTTTGTATTGTTCATCTTCTACGGGAGGAAGAAAGGAAGGAAGGCAATCTATAAATCAGACTTTAATGGTACTATGCTCCAAACCTCAAAGTCCCACCACGTGACCACTTACGGAACCATGGAGCCAGGGCCGGATTAAGGTCTCGTGGCGCCCGGGGCCAAAAGTTTTCATGCGCCCCCCAATTTTTTAAAAGCCCCACAATTTTTTCGTCCTCGAAAATTTTGAAATTTTTTTTATAGAAAATAAATAAAAAGAAAAAAAACCCAAAGCGTGATTTAATTTTTAATAAACTTTTCGTAGTTTACAGCTTATAAAATTTGAAATTAATATTTCCTCATCTAAGGAATCCACCAATGTATTTTCTATACACAAAAGTGACAAATTACTGGTTTTTAAATCACCCATGCAGTTTCTTAAATAATTTTTAATTCTTCCTAAAACCGAAAACGACCTTTCTCCACTAACGTTGGTTACTGGTATGCAGAGCTGTGCGGTACTCGAGTACAAGTACTCAAACACTGTACTCCAAGTACTTTCAGTGTACTCGGTACTCAGTCCCGAGTACTTTAATTTAAATGTACTTATACTTGTACTTGATACATTTAAGATTGCAAAAATGTACTCGAGTACTTTCCCGTGTACTCGAGTACTTTAACGTGTACTCGAGTACTTTTACATGTACTCGAGTACATCCAAAGTATGCAATGAGTACATTTTTATGCAGTGAGGTTGGCGTGGACACATATGTGCGTGGGTGTTGAAAATTTGGCAATACTGCTTGACTCACACGACAGCCTTAAAACAGCCTCAATCAATAAATAAAAAGACACAAAAAAGAGCATTGAACAAAAGGTTTTTACTTATGTATGAAATGTAATTTTGTTTATATTTTGGTAGAAATAAGGTGACAATATTCCTCAAAAAGATAATTAAAAAATAAAGCTAAGGCAAAGTGAAACATGATACTAGCCGGCCTTGATAATTATAATTAACATAAAGCGAAATATCAATATTTGATGAAGGCAATAGGCCGGCTAGTGTTTAGTTTTGCACTAGTGATTCTAAATTCATTTCTTATTCGCCCCATTTCTCTAGCATTTTTCCCAACATTTCATAACTAAAGTGTACTCGGTACTTTGTACTCGTATGGGTACTCGAGTACAACGGTACTGTACTTGTACTTGGTACTCGAGTACTTTTATATAAGAGTACTTGTATTCAGTACTCGAGTACTTTTTCATTGTACTCGGAACAGCTCTGCTGGTATGGTTAAAAATATTTTCAAAGCTGTATCCATATTTGAATAAGTAGAAATAATTTTTTGTTGTCTTATTAATTTTAACATATCAGTCATTTTCATGTGTTCTGTATTAGATTTTTTTTGTCTCAAGCTTTTTATAAAATATTTGAAATGTATACATTCTTCTGGAAAATCTTCGTCCACGTCTGTTGAATATATATACAATAGTTCTTTAGCTTTTGTTAATATTACATTATCAGGGATGTCGCATAATGAATTAAAAAATCCAAAAAGATTAAATACATGTTCATAGGCATTCTTTCTTCGATTTAATTCAAATAAAAAATTATCCAAAATAACATAAAATGTATTGACTTTCATATCTTGTTTCCCACTAAAAGTTACCTCATCTGCGCTTTCCTCATCTATTGTTTTTTTTCTAAATCGCTTTCTTTTTACTTCTTTCTCATATTCTTCACAACTTAAAATCTCCTTTCCAATTTTTTCAAATTCATCATATTTAGTATCCTTTCTTAGTTCAGTTATAAAAACTATCAATTAATTATACAAATCTATTACAACTGATAAATCTATATGTTGTTCCTGTAAGCTTTTGTTTACAGAATTAAAATGATTTAAAATCTTATGCCACAAAACTAATAATAATCCAGTTTCTAGTTTATTCATAATATCACTAAGCTCTAACAGTGGGAGTTTGATTGTTATCATTTATTAGTAATTCGAGAGCGTGTTGATAGCTTTCATAGGATTTGTAGAGAGGTTTAGTGGCGACTGCTCTAGCTGACCATCGAGTTGTACGTAATATAATATAATATAATTTTTTGGGAACAAAATTTTTATTAGATTCTTTTAAAGCATCTATTAAAATGTTCCACCTAAAAGTGGAAGCTGAA